GTTGTTTCCTGGACTTGAGGTGTGGTTGCTAGGGTTTACTGTTGTCACATTAATGCTATTTGTCATATTTGGGTTAGTTGTGGTGTTTAAGGTAGTCACATTTTGGCTAACTGTGACATTTGGACTAGCTGTGGTGTTTAAGGTAGTCACATTTTGGCTAATTGTGACATTTGGACTAGCTGTGGTGTTTAAGGTAGTCACATTTTGGCTAATTGTGACATTTGGACTAGCTGTGGTGTTTAAGGTAGTCACATTTTGGCTAATTGTGGCATTTGGACTAGCTGTGGTGTTTAAGGTAGTCACATTTTGGCTAATGGTGACATTTGGGCTTGTTGTTGCATTGAGGTCAGTCACATTGGAATTAATTGTCACATTCGGAGCATTTGTGGTGGGTATAAAGCTGAAAGTACAGTTCTCCTTTAAATTCACAAGCAAGTTTTCTCCAGTTTTGCTGCAATTAAGAAAGATGTAAAAAAAAAAAGGTATTATTTCAAAGTACATCAGTTTCAATCTAAGTGAATATATCTCAAGGACTATTTATAAACTGAGTTTATACAAACCATTTAAGGAGGTTAGATCCCTCTGCTTTGCTGCAAAAGTTTGCACGCTTTAGGTCCCTGTCCACATAAGTGAACTGGTAGTCCAGCGAGCTGGCACTGATCTCTTCACTTCCACAAATCGCTGCAACATAACACAGGAGTTAATGAAACTCACAGAGCCTTAACAGACATTTCGATATAGAATCAACTTTTATTAAATTGGTTCGGGCACTCACCTGCTCTCCTCACTCGTCCATCATAATGGATTTTTTCTTCAGGTAGAAAAACATCCCAAACAGCTTTAGCCACTGAACAAATTGGGACTTCTTGGGCAAAGCCTAAAATCACTCGGCAGATTTCCCTTCAATGTAAAAAAGAAAATAAAGATACATTAGCATATAGGCTTACAGATAATTCTAGGTCAAGGCAAGGCAAGGCAAGGCAAATTTATTTATATAGCACAATTCAGTACAAAAACAATGCAAAGTGTTTTACGTGATTAAAATATAGGAAAATAATACAGAAGTAGTGCAAGTAGAGCTGATTGAATATGTCTTAATTTCACTTATACAAACAACATGAGCATATAACATCAGAATCCAGCAGGACTTAATAGGACTAAAGACCGTGCATGAAATTGATTTTAAACTAAATGAAGTCTAAATGAACCAGCCCAACATTACATTGAAACATTGCAAGAATAAAGGAATTATTGTAGAAACAAGACAAAAAAGCAATGACGTTATTTTTGGTGGGTGTGATCATTTCGATGTTTTTTTATACAATACAAAAACCCAACAAATCGAACAAATGCAGCTCTTTAAAAGTTCTGATGTTTTCTCTGACCTTCTGCAAGCCATTGGATCATGAAAAACATGTTTTTAGTATCCTGGACACTTATTTTGCTTTTTTAGTCTTTAAAATGTTTTTACGTTTTTTTTAACATATGAATGGTACAGGTCCAAGATACATTCCTAATGTGCTTATGGAACATGAACCAAGTAGACCGCTCTTGTCTTTCCCGACTTTATAATTCAAAATATATATTCCAATAAGGCTAATTTGTAAAATAAAATGTCTTTTGAAAATAAGTGCATTTAAGATCCCTGTAAATAGCAGAAATAAAGGCTTCAAAACAACAATCTGTTTGTTTGTTGTTATTCAATATGATTTACTTTATCTGATAAAAAAAATTACTGGAATAAGCTAACCTTTCAATAATGCTCAATTTTATTGAATATAAATGAAGGTGAGGCAGCAGCTCCTTTCTATGCTCCCCAAGTCTGGAGCCAGAAGATGTACAGGAATTGTTAGTTGCTTTAAAATCTGTATTGAAAACATTATTGTTTACTGTGGTGCCTGACTAACTGACTGTTAGGCCATTCGCTGATGAGTGGCTGAAGGGTAGAATCTAGGATTATACTGTTGCTGTTAAAATGTCATTTGAACTCCAGAATGTCTTAGCTTCACAATCCTCTCAGTTTTTATCACTATTGCTTTAAGCAACTTTCTATACCTCAGTTTTTCCTTCCACTGAACTTACTATGAACAGCCATGTTTAGATGAAATATATCAATAACTGTCTGCTGCAGGTCTGCAGTTTTCCTTGTGATTGTGTAAAGTATAAATTGGTGGGTATAGCACTCAACAATTGTTCTCAAGTAAAACTAGAACTAATTCCTAATATTTTTACTCAAGTAAAGTAAAAAGTAGCCATCATTCAATAGTAAGAGGAAAATAATAATTGGAAAAAGGCTACTCTGGCCATAAAATCAGATTTAATGTTTTTAAACATCATGTAAATTTACAAAACACATTGTAATCTCGAGTAAAATGTACAGAGCAGAGTACTCTTTAAAGTACATATTTCTCGAAAGGTAACTCAATTAAATGTAACTATTTAGTACCCAAATGTAACTATTCAGTACCCATCTCTGGAAACTGATTAGTTTGGTTCTAGTTAGGTCTAAGTTTTGATAATATTAGTAAAAACAATAATCACAGATATATCAGTATGTGTCTAATTCATCTATACCAGGGGTCCTCAACAGGGGGTCCGCGACCCCTAGGGGGTCCACGGAGGTACTGCATGGGGGTCACAAAAGTTTTGGTTGATTAGACTTTTTTTTTTATATTCCCCCCTGCATTTTTTTCCACTAATTGAAATGTTTTTAAATACGCATTAACTCAAATTCAACACACTGAAGTAAACAGATAAATGGAGGCAGAAGATGTCTTTCAGTCATCAATGCAAACATTCAGCAACACACTCTTTCAAGCTTTAAACCGTTTCATTCACAAAACCTGTCCCATCAACGAGGAATCAGAATCAGAAATACTTCAATAATCCCAGGAAGAAATTACGTTCGTTAATGACACCATCTCTAATAAAGTGACTATAGGACCAGTTTGATATAACACAATTTCATACAATATATATAATTAGGGGTCCCTGCTGAAGACCCCTGATCTATACAGTATTTTGATTGGAATTACTGAAATAAAATGCGCTTTTATAAACTCCTGTGATAAATTGCAGTGGTTTGATAACTTACTTTGTTGCTGTTCTTTCACAGTTCACACTGGTGCTCTGAAATTTGAAAATAAGAGCATGAATAAAAATAAAAACAAGCAATTTTTTGTAATATTTTCGTTAGGATTTATCGACTCTTTTATCTCTAGAACTTTTTAAGACTTATCTTTTGTATTTCTAGATACCTTACATTGACACAAATACATTTAAGTAACGTTTAAAAATGTCTTACCCTGTATTGATATGCAATCGTAGCCAATAATTGGCATGTACCGCTGCATAAAAAGAACATGAGTTATATTTCAGTTGTACTATCTTTGTAAATCTTGTTTTCTGTTATAATTCTTAACAAAATGAGAAAACTCACTTTATATCGATGGAGCAGTTTGGTGTTTGTCCCAGCTTAGAAATCTGTAATTATAAGTTAATATCACCCTCTGATGCAACAAGTTTTTAAAGTGAGCTGTTATTAAAAAAGGTGTTAACAGGACGTTACCAGAGATGTTACAAATGAAGAGTTCATTGTTGAATTTTGTAGTGAAATGGATAAAGTGAAGTATGCATCTGAGAACAAAAATATTATAATATAATAATATGATATGATAATAATTGTTATATATTGTATTTATTTTGACAACAAAGGAGAGGTATGTTTGGTCTGTAAAATGCTAACCAGATCTGTTGCAGTGTGAAGAGCAGTTACATTCTCCTGAAAATAAAATAACAAATAAAAACAAGAAAACCATTAGTATTGTCCACACTGGGCTAATATTTTATGTTTAGTCAAACTAAAAATTATATATCAAATTGCTCTTGTAACACATGGCGTCACCCGTAATTGTAATGGACATGAAAGACTGTCCCACCCCTAACCTTTCCCACAGCCTCCATGTGCTGAATGTTAACAATAATATCCTTTATTTGCTCCTGAAATTCATGTTTTTATGTGTTGTCGTGCATTATCAAATAAAACGACAATGTTAAATGATATGGCTACATTTGTTTTTCTGCATTGTGATGTATCTTGGTTGTTTTCACACAGAATAATTCTTCATAAAAAAAAATGTTCAGGACAAATAAGCATGTGAGGAAAATATTTATATAATCTGATATTTTCCAGGTATGTTTAAAACAAAATAACATTAGAGCACACCTGTACCACAGACTGTTGAGTTTCCTGTAGTAATGACGTATTTAGGCCCAGAGTCCTCACTGTAAAAAGAAAAACATCATTTTATGTTACATTTGTTAATTTAACTTCATATGCATAATCCCAGTTATTTGCAAGATTAACAGGGGAAAAAAACTATTGAACTATATAAAAAAATTAAATTGGATTAGGACCTTAAAACTGAGCTGGACTGTCTTTTTTAGGAATACAAATAACAGCATAAAATAAAAGCTGTATAAAAAAAAAAAAAACATGTTATCCATACAAGAGAGCATATAAAGCCCAGTTGTCTTTTAATTATTTCTGTCACTTATGAAACATTTCCATTTTTCCAATTCATTGATCTCTGCTGTGTCATTGCTGTCTTAAACTTGCTTAGCAAACGGTAAAACCCTTACCATGATGCACCCAGCGGACCAGAATAGATGCAGCTGTTTGGCTCTCCTGAGCTCTCATTGCATCCTATATGAACTGAATCTGTTGAGAGATGCCAAGAGTTTATGACATATAAGGAGCATCTGAAACTGGCTTAAAGATAATAAAAAAAGATAAAATACTCACTCCGTTCATCTACCCTGTGCCCCACCACGTGAATGTCAGAGGAATTTTTACTGGCCGCACAGAGAGTTCGAAGGATACAGCATGATGGTATTTTGTTACTCAGCTTAAGCAGGACGGTGCACTTGGTCTGACTGAAACATATAATCAGTTTTAGTAAGAACAAAACTCAATAGCTGTATCTGTTTCTACTATCCACTTACTTTGTGCAGGAAACCTCCATTCCCTGTTTAAACATAAACCAATCTGAGTCTTACAATATTTCTCATTAGTAAGAAATTATAAAAAAAAATCTTCTGCTACATGCACTTATCAACTTACTTGAAAAAGCAAAGATGAGTCATTGCTGAAAATCAAAGAAGCGGATGAAATTATATAGAGAGCTTTCAAATTTAGGAATTATAAATCGTGAATAATTTGTCACTTGTAATGAAGAATGACCATATTTCAGATTTATTATGAAGTAGGTTATCCTACCTGCTTTGTGGTAAATTGCTGTTGATCTCCCGGGCAAAACGTTTCCTCCTTAACTTTGGCAGACTTGTCGATATGAGCATGGTTGTTTGGGTAGTCATTGGACTGTTGCTTGTTAATGTTGTAGATGTTACACTGGTGGTAGGATTGTTGCTTGTTAATGTTGAACTTGTAGCTGTGGTTGGACTGTTGCTTTGTGACGCTGTAGTTTTAGTTTTGTCTTTCAAGATTGTAGGTGCAGCTGTAGTTGTGTTGTTGCCATTTAACGCTGTTTTAGCTGTAGTTGTTTCCTTGCCATTTAACGCTGTTGTGGCTGTAGTTGTGTTGTTACCATTTAACGCTGTTTTAGCTGTAGTTGTTTCCTTGCCATTTATCTTTGTTGTAGCTGTAGTTGTGTTGTTGCCATTTAACGCTGTTTTAGCTGTAGTTGTTTCCTTGCCATTTAACACTGTTGTGGCTGTAGTTGTGTTGTTGCCATTAAATGCTGTTTTAGCTGTAGTTGTTTCCTTGCCATTTAACTTTGTTGTAGCTGTAGTTGTGTTGTTGCCATTTAACGCTGTTTTAGCTGTAGTTGTTTCCTTGCCATTTAACTTTGTTGTGGCTGTAGTTGTGTTGTTACCATTTAACGCTGTTGTAGCTGTAGTTGTTTCCTTGCCATTTAACGCTGTTGTGGCTGTAGTTGTGTTGTTGCCATTTAACGTTGTTTTAGCTGTACTTGTTTCCTTGCCATTTAACGTTGTTGTAGCTGTAGTTGTGTTGTTGCCATTTAACGTTGTTTTAGCTGTACTTGTTTCCTTGCCATTTAACGTTGTTGTAGCTGTAGTTGTGTTGTTGCCATTTAACACTGTTGCAACTGTAGTTGTGTTGTTGCCATTTAACGCTGATGTAGCTGTAGTTGTGTTGTTGCCATTTAACACTGTTGCAACTGTAGTTGTGTTGTTGCCATTTAACGTTGTTGCAGCTGTAGTTGTGTTGTTGCCATTTAACGTTGTAGCAGCTGTTGTTGTGTTGTTGCCATTTAACACTGTTGTAGCTGTTGTTGTATTGTTGCCATTTAACATTGTTGCAGCTGTAGTTGTGTTGTTGCCATTTAACGTTGTTGCAGCTGTTGTTGTATTGTTGCCATTTAACACTGTTGCAGCTGTAGTTATGTTATTTCTGTCTAACGTTGTTGCAGCTGTCGTGTCGTTGCCATGTAACATTCCAGATGTTGTTGTGTTGTTGCCATTTAACGTTGTTGCAGCTGATGTGGTGTCATTGCCATTTAACGTTGTTGCAGCTGCCGTGCTGTCGTTGCCGTTTAACGTTGTTGCAGCTGTCGTGGTGTCGTTGCCATTTAATGTTGTAGCAGCTGTTGTGGTGTCGTTGCCATTTAATGTTGTAGCAGCTGTTGTGGTGTCGTTGCCATTTAATGTTGTTGCAGCTGTCGTGGTGTTGTTGCTATTTAACGTTGTTGCAGCTGTTGTCATATTGCCATTTAAGTCTGTCGTTGCATTTGTAGTTGAGTTAAAGTTTTGCGTTACATTGTAAAATGCAGTTGTTGTTGAATTGTGAATCTGTGGTGTTGTTGATTGTTCAGTCACATTTAAAGTTTGTGGAGATGTGGATGCAGCAGTTGTTGGTCCTGTGTTTGAGAACAAGCATTCGCTGAGCTTACTGCGGAAAACTTGGTCAAGCTGCGGGAAAATAATCAAATGATCTCATTTATTTAAAGGCTTAAGATCTGAAAGGTAGTGTGGTATAATAGGATGGTCTTTAACGTTTTTGGTTGCGTACCCAGGCAGTGATTTCAGTTTCATTTCTCCTCGGTCCAGTGACATCAACAGTGACATCAAGGAAGTAAAACACTAGCATAAAAAGATAAATAACATAAAGGAGAAGAATGTCAAAATGTAAATCCTTGGGGAAACATGTTCCTCTCTGGACCCCAGTGGATACAATATTAAGGTGAGATGAATTTGTCTTGTGTTTACCTCCTGTCTGTTCAGTGGTTGTATTTGCTGAAATAATGAAATAAACAGTACGAGATTGATTATCAGAAGCTTTAGCTGCAAATATGCAAACTTCAATACAAAACTAAAGTCTCAAATGTTGTATCTGCAAAGCTTAGCTGCTGAGTAATCTGTTGACTATCTAGTTAATAAAGGAAATTACTATTTCTAATTAGTGTATATTGATGAAATACTCAGTTCACTTTTTCAGTTGTGTTTGTTTCTCTTTTCTACAGCTAAAATCATTACATGAGCTCCTATGCTTCACCTGCAGTATAGGAGCTCAAGCCGACAAATGTTTCACCCGTTGAATAATAAAAACCTGCTGTCGTTATCTTTTATTTTTTAATACTTTGTTATTTAGGATTTTTGTTCAACATACTTATTCTTTCACTTCTAGCATGCTTGTATGATCAGTGGCCACCTTTCATATTTTCTATTGCATATTTTATTCTACCATTGCCTATGGATAAATACATGTAGAGAAATTATTAGAAAGAGATTAGAAAGAAATAGTTTAAAATCTGTATTGTATAATCTATAATCCCCTTTTTCCCATACGTGTTGTTATTTTCAGTTCTATCCTATATCTCAGTTTAGGCTGTAAAAGCCCTAATATTGTACTTACTTGAAGTTTGTGCAGCTGTTGTACCCGTGGTAACGGTGGAAGGAGTAGTGGAGCTTAGCTCACCAAAAGCTTGACCTGATTGAAGAAATAAAACAGCTAGAGTAAGGGGTTATACTGTATCTCTAAGTCTGGCTGAGGTTTTCAATAAGACTTCCAGGCTTCCCTAAACTAACCAGGTAAAAGATTTAAACCAAACCAAAGTGATCAATAAATGTTATAAAGTAGTCAGTTGGGGCTGGGACTTCTGGTCAAGAAAAGTCACACAACTCAGTCATTTGTCAATTGTTAGATTACAAGCTGTCCCTCGGAGGTGTTGATGTGTACTTTGAGTCAGACTGGAATTAAAGTAGCTAAACAGGTTACAGTCACAAAAAGCAAAGGAATTTAGCCTGTGTAGGTATGCTGCACTGTGCAGAATGCGGACGTCATGCTTTATAAATGGGGGTTGATTATAGGTTCTGCTGCGTTGTTAGCAAATAACCTTTGTTGAAGTCGTTAGTCATACAGTGGATGATGTTAGACCTTACCTGCAAGGAGGACAATAATTAGGTGTGTCTTCAGCCACATTGCATATGTAACACCAAAACCAGGTTTCTTCACTCTGTAAAATAATTCACACTCCTAAAATTTTCATTGTTGACAAAAGTGAAATAATTGTACAAAAATCTCAGAAACTTATCAGCTCCTTTGTATCACTTCTCACTACTATAAACAATGAATTGGATCAAATCTCTGACAGGCTTATCTTTCATTATCATCATTCGGTCTATGTTTGTCGCACAAACAATAACATATCAGATGCATGACTAAAGTTAAGGTTGAAAGTCTTATGTAACACAACAAACACAGGAATGGTGAATGTCCACTGGTGTGACAGATCAATGATCTGTATCACTGAATTCATCTCCTGATCATTTAACATTGTATACTTTAAAGATATCACCTGGAAATCAGGCTATTTCATGTTTAAACATATTTGTTGCTGTTAGGCCTCAATCAAAAACCTGTTGGACAATCTGGAGCATACAAACGGCTGTTTTTGCCCCCTTTCATGTGGGCGCTTGGTTCAAACCAGAAAAAAAAGAACAATGGCAGGCTTTCCTTCTCACTGATATTTGTAATTTTTAAGAGGGCACTAACATTAGCCCGCTTGGTTTCTTCTCGTCTGTCTCTTTTCCACCATATTTCTAAGAAACAAGGACTAAACTGTAGGTATTCAGTAAGTTTTGCTACTTGTGTAACATTTTATCTGGAGAGACCAGGAGACGGTGGTAAATGAACCACAGCAAATTGCAAATGTTGCCAAAGTTGCATCCACATAAAAACACATAAACACAAGTCAGATTCTGTACACCCCTGCTAGAATAAAAGGGCATGAAAAGGGTTCTCTATAACCTCTTAAAACTGATTAATCATTGACCTAAATATGATTTCAGAAGGATTGTGAAAAATACCAGTTTATGACTTATTTAAATATATAAAAACACCTTACCTAACCTTAAAAATTTGTGTTATAACAGAAATGAACAGATTAAAAAATACATTTTATTGTGAGTATCAAAGTGAAAAATAAAATAATCTTATTGATTTCATGTAATGTTATGTAAATCCCTTTATTGTCACTAGGGTTGTCAAAAGTATCGATACTGAAAAGTTGTATCCGGATACAATACTTATTTTCAAAAGTATCGATACACTGCTACCACCAGTGGCACCTAAACAGTCATTCATCTTATGCACAGATTAGAGGAAAATGCACTTTCTGAACACTGTGTGATTGAATAATTCTGTGCACTTTTCGGTTTCAGACTTTTTTTCTGTAACAGGTGCAGCTGCTGAGAATTATTTTTGTTTTTTAACTGGTTTGGCTAGTGTCATTGTTATGTGTGCAAAGCATAGCCAAGGCAGGAACACTTCATTATAATTTAAAATTAAAGTTTTTTTTATCAAGCTTGCTTAATATTGTGCAAAGCATACAACCTCAAAATATTGTTTATTGTATTTATTAATCTATTTATTGTATTTTGTTTATTAATGAAATAATTTCTGTTGAATTTTGGAGCTTTTGTTTTTATCCTTGTGGTATCGAAAATTACATCGAGTATCGAATATTTACTTAGTATCGGTATTGAGTTGAAAAGTTTAGTATCGTCACAACCCAACACAATGGGTTAATTTCCCTCTGCTTTTAACCCATCCCCTTGGGAAGCAGTGGGCTGCCATTGTGAGGTTCCCTGGGAGCAGTGTGGGGTTAAGGGTCTTGCTCAGAGACCCAGAGTCGAGGCTGTCCGGATACTTGCAACCAGCCATAATCTACTGTACACAGAAAGATCTCATAATTATTGGGTGACTTTTAAACTTTATGTACGCCTTTAATCAAGGCCTTTTCTCATTAGATTTTTTATTATCTGTTAAAATTAATCTGCATCATTGCTCCTTCTCAATTTGCCATGTTTAGTTTTATTTAACTTACATAAAATCTTGAGAGGTTTTATGAGATTTTCAGTCTGACATCTGAATTTTTCGAAATTAAATCTGTTGGTTCTTTTACTATATTCTGCTTTTATTTTTCTTCTATTTTATTATCGAATTCATGTAAAGCACTATGAATTGTCCATGTACTGAATTGTGCTATACAAATAAAATTGCCTTGCCTTGCCTTGCCTTGGTGTGTGGTGTGCTTACCGAGTCGCTGTACACATGAAAATGAACTGATTTCATCTGGTAATTTCAGATATCCGTGATTTAAGGTCAGCGTGGTTCCCTACACCCTTCCTAGGAGGCAGACCATTCTTAACGCACCAGGATTACCTTAATTGTCATCATATATATATAATAAACGGGGCCATACACTCTACAGGTTTTCTAAGGGATTAAGATCGGTTTGTACCTACACTAGGATTGCTTCAATTGTCTTGACCAAATCCCTCCAACAACAAAATACCAAAACACAACATTTAGCTTCAATCCCTACATTTCACAGATGGTGAGGACCTCCACCTGTTTTCTCCTGAATGAAAAAGAGGCAATTTTGATCCAACTATTCAATATCATTTCCATCAGACCTTCAAAAGTCAAAATTCATGGAATTTGTCACAATTTGCATTTGCATACTAAAATCTGTCTATTTTATCTTGTTTGCTTTTCAGTAATGCCTTCTTCCTATCTGGTGATCATTTAGAGTAAAAGATTTCTATCTCTGAGGCACAGAAGTGTTCTCTATCCTCTAGGAAGGCTAAAAATACAGAGCATTAAAATATCCAAGAGCAACTGCTTTGATATCACAAACAGTCTTAAAAGCTTTATTAATACACTAAGTTTAATACATATTGGCTCTTCAGTACAGTATTTAGATTTGTGTCGGAACTACAGAAGGAAAACATTTCTGAAGCTGCCTGCATGCCAGTGATGAAAAGCAAACAGAGGTTATTGTGTTATACTGTGTTGAAGTTTCCATTGCAGTGTTAATATCCTGAAACCAGAGGTTTGTAAAGAAATCATGCAATATGATACCTCCATTTGGTGTCTAAGTTTAACTGCAAACAATCAAGGAGAAACTGCCTTCCTCTAAAAAGAATAAAAACTTATACTATGGAAACTGATTCCACAAATAAAAGGGTGAACAAAATATACTGGAATTAAGATGCAGATTATTCCTTTTCAGAAGATAGAATTATCACAATAAACCTTTATTTAGACCCAGTGAACCATTTTAGATTGCAATTACTGATGGTTTGGAGAGAAATACAAAATAAAACGTTTGTTGATCTGGTATGATCACATGCATTTGTTAAAGTATGCATTTGGTAAAGTCATCAAGTAACAACAAAAGAAGACAATTTAGAAGATGACGTTACAAAGTCAATTTATATGATTAGAAATACATAAAATGCGTAATTCAGACATACCTCTCAATTGAATTTTTTGCTTTGTTTTTTAAAATGAGCTGGTTCTATTCAAAAAAGGTCACCACACCACCACCAGAACTTTTACCTGACTGAAGGAGCCAATTTGTAAGAGACCGATGGAGCTCCCATAACTTCTTCATTTCCATATAGCATAACTTCCCACAGCAGAATCCAGAAGTTAAACCACAAACCTAACCACGAACATTTTCTTGGCTTAAACAAATCTGAATCCAGCTACCGGCAGTGTTTTCTTTACTGTGATTTTTCTCAGGCAGAATCCAGACACTCCCTCCAAACGTCAGCCCTTTCAAGTGGACGTCAGCTGCATTCACCTGAGCTTCAACATGTGTCACTCAACAATGGAGCAAGTTTTAATGGGAGCTTTCTTTTTTTGTCTACCAGAGCGTACGCTTCCGATTGTTCTCTCTGTCAACCCAAAAAATAAAACATATGCATTGTACACCAACAGGTTTCCAGAAAGGCTTTTGGAAAGGTAAGAGATCTGTGTTTCTATTTCTGTTTGGTATTTAAGGAGTGCCTCAGGGTGTGTCCTTAGCTGCTCAATGTTCTGTTTGATAGGCATAAAACAAAAAGAGTTTCCATGGCTACAGACACTACGGACCTCAAAGCAAGATATTTGATGCTGTCAGAATTTCGTGAGGCACCACTGTCTCTGCGTCGGTCATGTTATTAAGAGGTAAAAAAACACTGTTGGAAATTATCACCTGTATGGATTGTTGTGACTTAAAGAGCAGTATTTAGACTGGCTTACAGGTTAACAAACAAGCGCATCACAGAGAGGCTTTGGGAGTTTGGGTGAGGGTAAAGGGTGTGTTACAGGGGAGGTTAAAATGTTGATGCTTAATTTGGGGCATCTATCCATCCATTTTTTGTCATTTTTATCCCTGCTGGTGCTGGTGCCTATCTCCATCTGTCAACGGGCAAGAGGCGGGGTACACCCTGGACAGATCACCAGTCTATCGCAGAGCAACACAGAGACACACAACCATTCACACCTAAGGAGAATTTAGAGAAGCCATTTAATCTTACAGTCATGTTTTTGGACTGTGGGAGGAAGCCGGAGTACCCGGAGAGAACCCACACTCTTCAGTATGTGTCACTCTACAATGGAGCAAGTATTAATAGAAGCTTTCTTATTTGTGTACCCGAGTGTACCCTGCTGATTGTCTCTCTCTCAGCCTAAAAGGGAGAACTTACAAACCCCCAGGCTGTGAATTGAACCTGGAACCTTCTTGCTTCAACGCAGCAATGCTACCCACTGCTTCACTGTGCAGCCCAATTTGGGGGGACAAAAAAAGTAAATGAAACAAATGTTCTATAACAAGATACCCGATGAGTTAGACTGATTTAAAATGGAAAAGCTTAGCAGTGAAGTCATGTATTCACTGAATCATCAGCTGTGGAGGTCAGGTGATCATATTAAAAAGGAGTTCCTGACAAACTTACTCTCCTTATTCTCCCATTGGCTGGTCTTAGAGATAGGGTGGCAAGGTTAATAATTGGAGGCAAGCTCAGAGGTGATGCCTAACAACCCACCCTGACAGAACAAGAGGAACAAATGTCACTCCTGTCCTTCGATAAGATGCAGTGTCGCAGGGCAGAGGCGTATTTGGGTCCTCCTGTTAAACCTGCTACACTCATAATGATCCCTGATCAGTGTAAGTGGCAGATTATAAATGGACTGATGGACACAACACCACAAACACGTCTAGGTGGAACAAGATCTGAAATGATTCATGATTAAGGAAAACACTTAAACATGTCCTTTTAATTATAACCATGATCGTTGAGACATTTGTATTCTATATATTAAACTTGATGCATATTGAGCTTCATAAATCAATTCAGATGAACTGTGCTGTTTCCTCCTGCATTACCCCTTTTCTCCACCAGAGGTCCCAAAGTTCCTTTTAAGAAACTTACCTGCTCATAATTTCCTTCAACTTCTTGTGGTTTTTAGTCTGTGCTTTGGCATTCAACATAGCCCTGATATTTTTTTTTTATTTTCTTTGAAGTCCTAATTCTCAGGCCACTGGTTTATTTTAATCCTGACTTTTATTTGTAGGACAACCTGTCAGCATGCAGTAATACCTTTAAGCTGATGTTTTGTGCCGCTCTTCAAAGCCCCATCTGTCTCCCTGTTTTTATGGGTATTTTAGATCTTTTATTTTATTTCTAAACAGCCCGACCTTATAAGTATGAATAGTTTAATGCAAATTCAGAATATAGGGCTTTGTAAATTTGGTCAGAGGGATAATATTGGTGGTAGAGTGGATGTGATTCCCTGACGCAATTTAGGAAAAGATTTTGAGTTTTCAGTAATAATACAGAAGCTCTTTACAGGTACATCAATTCTACTTGCAGTCCAAACTATGAGTATTAGGTTAATTGATCACTCTTAAAGTCCCCTCAGGGTACAAGGCTGTGGGTGCATGGTACTTTGTCTCTTTGTTACCCTAATGGACCAGGTTTCTAAAGTCAGCATTTAATTTTAAGAGCGTAACTAGGAAAAAAAGATATTAACATGATTGGGCAGAAATAAGTATGACACTCACATATGTAAGAGATTTATTTGTAAAGATGTTGAGTAGGATAAGGGTATATTATCCTTTTTGTATAGGTTCCCATTTTACTGATTTTATACATGATGTAGGCTTGCAAAGAGCAAACTATGCAAAAGTCATCATAAGTTCATCCTTTTTGGAGCAATGTGGCCCTCACACATGTAGGCAACCACCTTCTTCCTAATCAGAATCAGAAATACTTTAATAATCCCAGAGGGAAATTGCTTTAAATGATTTGATTTAAATGATATGCCTGAAATCCCAAGAAAAGACACATAAATACCAAAAAGATCATATTGCGTCATGCCAAATAAAGCACTACAATGAATAAAAAAATAGGGTTGAATAATGTTGGTTAAATATTTTTTTCCCTCTTTTGACAATAATTGGCAAATTACACTTGAACACAAAGCCAGCAGCAGATCCTGGGAGAATATATTTAAAACAGCCTTAAAGTAAACAAATCTCCTTTTTCTTTTTTTTTTCTTTTTTTTTACAATAATATGCACAATCCTTACAAGAAATCTTTGAAAATAAATATCCAGAACCATGTGTATCTCTGATTTAAGTTTACAAAAGTGCTAATTAGGCTGTTTCTAGAGCTGACAAATTCATAAAAATCATAAAAATCTTTGCTTCTATTAATATGACATCACAGTGAGATCAGCGGCTACCCGCCTGGGGAAGGACCAATGTTTATCTTGCCAAATAATCAACAGGACAGATGCATGTACAAAAACTTTTTTCTTAACATCAGATTTCATTCCCTCTGAGTGATTGTACTAAAAGTAAACATTTTTCTTTTATTTTAAGGATTTTTTTATTATTATTTCTGTATAATTTTACTAAAGATGCCATTATATGATGTATGCTTTTTATTTTCAGCAACAGCTGATCTCAACATCTTGAATGCAAAAAGACATAAATTTTCAGGAGCAAACGTTCCAACAAACAGTAATAGTGTAGGATTAACCAGCATGTAGTCTTATTGGAAAGATCTTTTTTTTTTTTAAGTCTTTTTAACAAAAACTATGCATACAAACTCCAGTAAATGATGTTGAACAGTAGATAGGCCATAGGAAAGACGACTCTGGAGCATGAGTCGATCATGTAGCTGTTGCTCCGGATGAAGCTCAGGTTGTATTTAAGTGTATTCCTGCGACGGAGACGGGTTCCCTCTGTGGGTGTAGAAGCGGTGGAGTTTCGAGACTGGGTGTTTCTCTCTGTGTTGGGGGTGATGGCGACCTCTGGGAAAGAAGCCAGGTCAATGTCGTTATCATGGAAACACCCGTCGAAGGCCATGGCCTGGGTGGCATCGAAGGTCGTGGGGATCTACAGGCACAGAAGAACAGAGCAGAAAAATGTATAAAACAACAACCCCTAAACAAGCAGAAAAATATTAAGAATAAACTAAGAGGGAACACATAAACCTTTGCATTCTTCAGCTTCTTCATCTCCTCCACCGTGGTGAAATAGTTGACAGCAGCGTACTCGATGACGGACAAAAACACAAACAGGAAGCTTGCCCACAAGTAGATGTCTACGGCTTTGACGTAAGACACTTGTGGCATAGAGGCAGATACACCAGTGATGATGGTGGACATGGTCAGAACGGTCGTGATGCCTGCACAAAAACACACGCACATTGAACACACAGTTTTGGACAGACACATCTATCTAAAAAAGACAGAAAATATCCATTGCTTACTCATACATTCGCAGAAATGTTAAAATTGGTTGCAAAATCCTTGTTGAAAACATATTGTTTCATCCCATCCCTACTAAGCAACATTACTAACTATTGTTCAAAGAGATCCCCTCACCACCACACTTAGGTGGAAGGATTCTTAGTTTCATTTAGTTTGCTCCAAATGTTGACTCTAACAGCTGAGCCCTGCAGATGAAATCATAATTTTTTATCCCACATCATTTTTTACTTTTTTTCAATTTTTCATCCAATTTGTGAACAGTAGCCTAAGTTCTATTTTCTGGGATGGCAGGAGAGGTACAAAGGCTGTCCGTCAGCCACCAGCTATAAGGTTCATCTGATGTTACCTTGAACTAGTAGGTATTAGAGCTAATGTACTCCGCAGTCCTCTGACCTCTGATTATGAGGCAGTTTTATTCCCTTCTTATTTTGATGTTCTTAAATGCTTTATAAATAGATGAAATAAATTTCCTAAATGCACTTGATTGCTTCAATCTGACTGGGATTCAGGTTGGTGGATTTTACAACAATGACTACTTTTCTTTTTCTTTCATTCATTTCATTTTGTTTTTCATTTATATACTTATTTCAGACTTACATGAAATAAAGGAAAAGGTTGGCGACAAAGCTCACATTCATATCCTTAACCTTGTACCTCCTTGGAAACTGAGAAGGGGATAAAAAAAAGCCCTGCTTATCTAACTTCAAGACCCTTAGGCAATACAAATGAACGTTATGTTGTTAAACATGTCGTTATTTTCAGTTTTATATCTCCCCCTCTGAGTGATATTTGACGTTGGAACAGAATTTTCCTTTGTTCTTTTTGCATTTGCTGTTAATTTTCTCATTACCCAGTGAGACACGGGCAGGTACGGCTCTTCTGTCAATCCAGAAAGACACCCATGACAGCATCACCATCAGCATGGTAGGAAAGTAAGTCTGAAGCATGAAGAAGAAGATGTGCCTCCTTAGGATGAAGTTTATGTAGAGTCGATTGTACCAACCTGAAATAAGGCAGAAATGTAATAAAAGTAACTGTAAGAAAAAAGAAAACATGATTAACATAAATCTGGAAAACAAGATATTTAAATAATCTTTTAGTTTAAATGGTTCATTTTCTACTTTAGAGACTGAACTTTCCCTTTTGATCTAGCTTGTAGATGTGTTGGTTTGTTTTATCAGCAGCATACTGTAGTTTTCTGCTAGATGTCATTCTGAACTTTTTCCTCACTTTGCTACTTTCTTCTGTTGTTCTCCAATCAAGCAGTTATTTTCTGCTTCAAACTTCTTAATATAGCGCTTACACCTGAACCAATATTTCCGTATTCTGCCATGATTATTTGTTTAGAGTGAGATACCGTCAGAGGTGTCAAAAGTATTAGTATATATTCCTCATGTAAAAGTATAAATCCTACAGTTTAAAAACATTTTTGTAGAGTATCAACTTAAGTTTTTTACTCATGTAAAAATGTAAAAGTACCATTTTTAAAACTACTTAAAGTATGAACATAAAAGTAGTGCAGGAAAACATGTTCTGACATATGCATTAAACTTTATACTGGTTACTAAACTACCCAATTAAAGGAACTTTTCTGGATAACTTCCTTATACTTAATTTTCTTAATTTTATAACTAATGGTAACAGTGTCAAATTTTACTTTGCTTTACTTAAAAAAAAAAAACTATTTATTTCACCACTAAGTCCAACCATAATGGAATTGTCTGGATGAAACAAATGATTTTGAGTTTTTTGTTTAGCTGTTTTTATATCAAAAGGCGATAATGAAAATGAGCTTAAATGAAACAAAGATAACGGGCCTAATTTTAAACTGTAAGGAGTAGAAAGTAGAGATAATTGCATTAAATGTAAGGAATATAAGGAAAAAGTTGTCCAAAAAATAATCACTCCAGTAAATTTTATTTTAAATTTTATTTTATTCTAAAATGTGTTTTAATTGAAACATTTATCTTATTCTATTTTTATGTGTTTATGTATTTTAGCCTTAGCTTTTATCTCATGTTCCTTAACTGTGATTCCTGTACCGCACTTTGGTCAACCCCGGTTGTTTTAAATGTGCTTTATAAATAAAGTTTGAGTTGAGTTGAGTTGAGTTAAAGTATAGATAGCCAAAATTTATACTTAAGTAAGGTAATGACGTATTGGTACTTTGTTACTTGACACCTCTGGATACTGTAAAGCTATGAAAAGCTTTTAATTGTCATTATCTACCAATGATATGTTTGTTTTGGTGTTTCTTGCGTGACAAAAGCTAAGCAGCAGGCTTTATCTCCACCAATTGTATGCATTCTGCTTTTAAGCCAGTAGATTGTAATTTAACTGTATTTCTTTCCTAGATGAACTCTGAATAATAGCAATGGTTAGAACTTCTTTACTTTTCTAAATTTATCTCAAACATAGAAAGAATCATGAATAAGTGTTTCCACATTTCAGGGCAAATTATCTTTCTTCTCAATAGGCCATACAATCACAGCAGAAAGCTGCTCATACCATGCCAATCTCTGCTGAAGTTTCTGCTTAGCATTTTAAAGGAGTGTACCTTTCCATTATTACAGCACACATGCTCAAAATATGGCAAAGTTAACATCTTAAATTAATCACCAGTTGACTGCGGTTCTACTGTATGCTTGTTCAGGTGGAACAAGCATAAAAGATAGAAACTGAACCTGTAAGCATTTATATGTAGGATTTTTGCTAATTTCTTGATAATTAATATACTAACATCGTTACAGATTTGTTGTGATTTCGCACTTTATAAAAACTAATTTGAAAAAAATCAACAATAGATATTTACCTGAATATTCTTTCAGCAAAAGTCTGATAAATAAATCTTCATTCTCTAAACATGCCAGCAACTGATCTCCCTTTTCCGCTGTTCAGAAATTATTGATTCAAAATAATAATCTGAGCTCTGCTTGCCATCCGTTTTTGCGTAACATAACACAACGTTGAAACTCAAACTACTATTTTAAAAAGATTTATCAAAGAAAATATAATGCAATTACAGCATTTTTACTTGCTTTATTAGAAAAGAGGGCAGGTCAAGAGCTCTCTGGTTGTCTCTGAAGTGGACACAGCACAGAGAGCCCCAGCCTCACATACCAGTGCTGCTGTAGAAGGCAAGCCCAAAGGAAGGCTGGAAGTCTTCAATAAAAAACTGAGAGAGCACAATCTCATCAGTCCTTAATGAATCGTTCCCGTTCTTCCAGTAGAGCATTAGGTCGTTCTCATTGTAAGCATCTTAAAGAGAGGAAAGAAGGAACAGTGGTAGTTTTGCTTCTCTTACAAGAATCATGGATGTGTTCTCAGAGGAAGGACAGTTTTTTTTATTTTCTTTTTCAGTCCAGTGTCTGTCTTTCCTCTAAGATCATGCTCCATGTTATAAATATATAACAGAGTAAGAGAAACAGAACTGAAAACACAAAACAACACCCAGAAAAGTTCAAATAAACAATCCTTAATTGCTAAAACTGAAATATGGCATTACAGTTTGTTTTTTTCAAGAAATAAGTGTATTTCCATTGATTTGAGCACACACATAAGACACTTTGCCAATAGAATAAGATGATATATGCATAAAGTCTAATTCTCTTATTTTAAGGGCAAAAATACAAAGTTCATTGGCAGATCATTTTGTTAACCTGTTCAACTTAAGGGGAAGTCTATACTTATTTATACTTATTGTATTTATTTTCAATTATTCTTTTGCATTGTAAAAGACAATACAGTCAAAAAAGGTCTATTAAACCCTAGATCTAAAAGACAATCATCTACAGTGCCTCTCAAAAGTATTCATACTCACTGAGTTTTTCAACCTTTTATCAGTTTACAAGCAAGACTTCAATGGATTTCATGAAATTTACATCATAAGCCAATACAAAATATTACATATTGGTGAAGTGGGATATTATATCCAAACGTTTTTAAGCTGTTATGAAGCCTAGGTGAAAGTTCAACTGAGGAAACTAATTGCGCTCCTACATCCACCTGCGACACACAATCAGCTTTGAACCACACCTCCACGAAAGCCAATCAGCATCCAAAGTTCATATTAAAAGGTCTCCGATCCGCAACTTTTCCTGCTTCTAGTGCGCAGGTGGTGTATGTGCTGTCTGACTTCATTCAGATGACCCTGCTTCAACCTGTCCGGCAGAAGGCCGCCATGTTGAGCCTGGTTCTACCAGAGGTTTCTTCCCAACAGGGAGTTTTTCCTCTCCACTGTCACTTCATGCTTGCTCATCATGGTCAGGTTCTCTCAACCTGTGTTATCCAAACTGGACTTCCATCTTCCAGGTCCCTGAGTGTAGCTCTAGTGTCAGCTCACGCAGTCCACTGGATCTCCCCATAAAGCTCAGCAGACCGTCTCTCTAACCAGCAGTCTACAGACTGACCAACTTCATATGTCTCCACTCTACCACCAGTTTCAGGCCTAGGGGGGAAACAGCTCTATTCTTTGCTCCTGTTCATGCATATCTATCAAAATTAAGCGCTATGTTTCCTGCCGAGGTCGTAGCGCCAAAGACAAAGTAATGGTATCAATAAATTTCATCTAATTTTCTCTTCATGGTAGTTTTTCAGATTGAAATGTCATTAACAGCTTTATACATCTGTTGGCTGAAATGATTTCCCTGAGCTATGGTCAGTCCGTCGCATGCATATGAATGGCTCCTTTTATTTTTCTAATTCTAACCAGCTTTCCATGTCCTATTATCTAACATAAGTTTCCCTAATGCTGCTAGGTTGTTATGTTACCATAGAGATGTTGTGGTCTCTGCAGGGGAATCTCAGTTTTCCAGCAACCATAACATTTTGCATGTCAGAAAAAAAAGCTTAGCTTCAGATCAAAGCTTTGCATATTGATTTATGTTCTAACCCAGTTTTAAACTTCTCAGTGTTTAGTCTTCATGGTGCTATTTGTCCACTATTGTTTGCCAACAAACCTTAATAGAGGTCTATTGGATTGAGGGGTTTCAGAGTAAAGGAGGTTGATGTGATGGAATATCTTAAAAAAAAAAAAAAAAAAACTATTATTCCATTCATGCTTTTGGTTCCACTTCAAAGTTATGCAATATCTTTGTTGGTCTTTAAGATAAAGTCAGTAAATTAAAGAGAAAGTTGGATGTAACTTAACAGAATATGAAGAGTTTGGGTAGGGATCTGCATACACAGAAACTATACAAACTGATTCAGGTTAAAGACTTTTTTTTTTAGATAACAGTAATATTTCAAGTTTTGTTAGTTATCGATAGTGGTTTGCTGTCAAATACAATGAATTAACAGGAAATTCTCTTGTATACATCTTTAAATAGAAACCTACTGGCTGTAGAATGATTTTTTTTTTTTATCAACAAAACAAGTCTACATTAGTTTGGTTAATAATGGAACTATGTTTGTCACTGAACAGAATCAGATCTCAGAGGAGTTGATTTGGAGGAACTGTTTCCTAGACCTCTGTTTGATACTCACAGCTCTCCAGCTCCAGAGAGCAGTTCTGTGTGTCCAGAGGGAAACTACTGAAGTCCATCGAGCACAGAGCAGTCACAGTGATCCTAAAACACAACTTAAAGTTATATGAACACTCATGTCATTCAAATCATTCAGTCTTTAGTAGAATGCTCATCCAGAAGCAAACAATTAAACTGTGTGTGGTATTATGGGGGCCTGTTCCGATGACACAGATTGGGACTGCAGAGAGAGGAAGCAAGATTGTTGACATCTGCAGATAACGCTGATCTTACAAATCCTGTTAGAGCTAATTTTCCACCTTCTTTTACTCTGCTTACTACTTCTATCTTTTTTTTATACTACATCTTTCTGACAATAGCTGCTTATCTCTAGTACCCAATTATCTGAGACATACCAGTTAACATGTCTCAGTAAGTATTATAAGAGGAATTCCTGTTTTGATGATAATATTTTTTGCAAAGCCAAACAGCGCTTTAGCCATCTTTAGTAGCCATGTACAGATAAAACACTTTTGAGGTTTCTCTACGTATGCGTATAGTGAGAAAAATTAACTCTCCATTTTCCTGAATAAAAAATGTGACTTTGACAAATACGAGAAGGCTAATCTTTTCTCCAACCCAATATCTGTCCCCCAATCGCAACATAAAATACGCATATCATTAGTTTATCAAACAATTGAAGTGTATGAAATAAAAACCCTCCCACACCTTTTGGCCAGACTGTTCTTCACTTGCTCTTGCTCCAACAACTTTTAATTTCAGACTAAGAGGATTTGGTCAAACATAAAAAGGTGTTTTCAAATGATTTCATGGGGAAAAAGGAGTATAAGAAATGTTATCTTATATGAAAATTCCCTTTCTTATGATTAAATCCAATCAACTACGGTATATATGTCTCTGCTTTCATTGGTCACACCAGGTCTGAATATATTACCTGACCTGTAGAATAAACAGATGACTTAAGAAGAACCTGTTGGACAACAGGAAGTAGACTAAAATATATAAAAAATATATATATATACATCCTACTGCAGTTTTTTCAAGAATTAAAGTTTACCAAAAATTTTGGGACTCCAGTGAATGACAATCAGATCCATTATCCACGAATGAAAAAACCCCATTAAACAGTAATCCAAGATTGCCTCAGTTATTCACCAGAAGGACACAAAAGAACCCAGAACAACATATAAAGCAGGCCTCACTTGCATCAAAAGATCATATTTCAACTGTTAAAGCCAGGCTGGTAAGATCGGTACAGGGAGTGGCAGCTTGACCTCTGTCTGGCTGCCTAGGCCAGCTATGGATACAGTGGCTTGTCAACATCGACGTGTGTGTAAATAGGGAATTAATGAATGTAGAAATGCTCTGGAGTCAACAGATTTTATTAAAGCATCATACAAGTATGGACCATTTCCCTTTTTTTAACCTTCATATGGTGAAAATGTCCTTATTCTGCCCTTTCTCCACTTTTTGGTTCTGTTCTACTTTTTGAGCTTTCAGATAGACTTTAATTTATGTCATTCTGTGTTTTCTGGGTCATTGGTTTCACCTCCATTTTCTTTCATTCTCTAATAGTTTTGTAGTTATATTTAAACAGTGTTGTATTTGTTTTAGTTACTTCTGTTGGCCCTTGTGCTAGTCTCTTTTTCGCTAGCTCCCTTCTAGTTGCTTCTATCAACACCTGCTCCCAATCATCTAATTAGCCCATTCTTTTTTTCTCCCATATATACATCCTCCTGTGCAGTTCCTCATTGCTGGATTCTCTTCATTAATTAACACATTCGTTCCTTTGATTTATTCCATTTAACTCGAATGTTGATGTTAAATACAGATGACAAGCTGACTTAACAGGGCTTATTGAAAAGTTTCCAGCATCAGCTTGTGAAAACATAACTGCATGGTTTATTATTAGATTTTTTTAACAGATCAGATAAAATAATTTTTTTTTCTCTAAATAAATTCAATTTTGTCTTTGTCAGTATTTTTTTGTTTGTTTAATAGCCAAGCCAAGTGTTTCAAAAAGTAGGTGGAAATAAGCAGAAGTTCAAAAATATTTTTAGTAGTTGGTATATTAAAGGTTTAAAATACAAATTTCCATCCCTGTTCCCCATCTGTGTTTGAGTGGGTATGTAAAAAGGAGATCTAGCATGAGACATGCTGCAGCTTTTTACCCATTAGAGTTAATAATCAATTACAAGCACCAACAGGATGAAGATGTAAGTCAGCATAATCAGTTCTTATCTATATAATGAGCTAAAGGTTGCTATCAGAGGGACTTCTAAAAGGCTTCTTTTTTTTTTTTTTTTTTTACCTCACACTGTAGAGAATATTTCCATCTGGGAAAACCCTCAGCATAATATTCTCCATAGTTGTATCATGGATAAATGAACGCTTTGAATGGACAAAGAACACGTCTGGGACCCAAATTTTCTTGACAAGTCGTGCATCGAAGGTTCGACTTTTGTTGCTGCTGGAGGGAAAAGCCAGCCGATCGTCCTGCCAGTAATGCCTCAGATAGAGGGTCATGGTGAAATCCTGCAGAAAAGTTAAAAGGGAAAAAAATCAGCACGTAAGCTGAGCGCTTCATCTTGGTTAACTGCAGGAATCACAGAGGTGCATACCATGTTTACTTCAGATATACTGTCAATGCTCTCCACCTGGACATCTATTCCAACTGGAAGAGCGGAACCTATAACAATATGGAAATAAGAAAGAAGAAGAAAAACACTTCAAGAAATATAGAGAGCTGATATTCTTTACATTATCTGTTACTGTACCTTTCGCTGCATTATCCTCTAGTGGGAAAATTACTCACAATAAGTCCTAAAACAGACAAACATACCTAACACAAGAAAGCTCAGTACCTACATAGTCCTTAATGAAAAAATGAAAACAAAAAGTACTTTGAAGATATTTTAGTTTTCTCTTGTTTGAAAAACCTTTAGCAGAAGGATGTAATGGATTTCTTAAAATTTGTTTTTTTTAATGCTGGCAGAACTTCATGACTTCTGCCAGATGGAAACAACTGAAGCACTGAAAACAGAGGATGAGAAATATGCATGAATCGGCTTACTGGCCTAACTGATCTGGCTCATTTCTATTAAATAAAGGCTATTCTACCAAGGTGTTATAATAATGGAGATCTTTAGGGTATTTTTAAAGGGTTGCTTAATGGCATTAAGGCTTATTATTTTCACTGTAAAGGGAAAATACTATGCAAACCATTTTTTTAGGCCTTTAAATGCATTCTATGTATGTAGTTATGTTATGTAGTTATGAGTTGCTAGGAATGCAAAAGAAAAAAAAATCTCTCCAGGTGCTGTGCAAATATAATTTCACAATATGGGGCACAATCTGTTCAGTTTTCTCTACTCCCATTACATTTTTGGACAATATTGTCCCATTTTTTGCTGCAATAATAAAATGGCAATAACACAAAATTTTGACACATTTGTTTAAAGGACTGGCTCTGCAGGTTTGTCCTCTTAATTATCCTCTTGCTCTGTGTTAGACCCTGCCTTGAATATATGTAAAGATGAATGGACAAGCCTTTTTGTTGTTGATATCTTTTGTTTAGATTTGGGAATAAAACGTTTCTTTGCTGCCAGATAATCAGATCTCTGGTCTCAAAATGCAAAAATAACCAAACAGGGTGGAGAGGAGTTGCACTATGTGGAACCCAGCTGAATGGTTAAAATGTGAATAGGAAAGATTTAAAAGTGTGATATATATTCACCTTTAATGAGAGTCTTTTTGAATTTCTTCAAGAATAATTTGCAGGAAATTTGGAACATCTTGGTATTTAAAGATTTACCCAGATATTTAAGTTGAGTTACCTACTTCACCTTCTGACATTTTCTATTTGAATACATTTTGATCCTGTAGCATGTAATATGCCAAGTGTAGAGAGAATTGACTTACTCAACATTTAACTGAGAAGCTCTGGGAACCAGATTGTTAAATTATGGAGTCTTTGTGTTATAAGTATATTTTTGCTAATCAATTATTCCAACATGCCATAACTTCAGTGAAATAAAAAGTATACATAACTAAATGTTGTATGCAGGTTAAGGAAGGACCAAAATAACAAAAAAAAAGTTATTACATTTGTTAGAGATAAATTAAATGCATAATCTCCAAGGATCATGCCATTGATTTGTAATTTATTTATTAACTTTATGGTACAATTCTGCATCACTACCTTAATTTATTCAATCAGTTAGCCTCCTGCTTCACAATTAGTTTGCAGGATTGTTGTCAGAAATTTTTTATCTTTCTTCTATTATGTATTAATTTATCCTATTTACTCACTATAAAAGTTTTCACTCAGTCTGTTTCTCTCTCAAGGCCACACATTTCTCTCCAGGCTGGTGTTTGGAGACCAGACATTGCTTCTTCCCATAACAAATCAGGTTCCTTCTCAAGGTTTATTCATAACATATTACTGTTATCCAAAGTGTGTGTAATTTGTTATGACTCTGACTGCTTTCCATTGTTGTAAGTAGGGGGGGGACGAACCCTGCCCAGATCAGAACAGGGCAGAATGCTGTGCCATGAAGGCTTCATGATGAACTGTTCTCTCTTTGCAAAGATATTAATAAATGTGCCGACTGAGTGAAATCCATCGATCTCCTTTTATTTAACTAGGGTGAATAGTTGAATACTTTTTTCCCACGACAGGATAGAGCTAGATAACATAGAAGTTAAAAAGGCAGTAGTTAATTTCATTGTATACCAAACCATGGGATCTATAAAATAAATAAAAACAGAAGTTTTTATACCCTTAAAGTTTAAGTAAAGTCTTTGTTTGAATTTAAATTTCCTAATAATTACATTTAATTCTACATTAAATATAATTTCATTTTTGAATTGATTATATAACATTTAAATAATAATGCATATTTTCTGTAAAGATAATAAAATATGTAGTCATTTTATTTTAGCTTGAATCTCTTTTTGAAATTTTAATTTGTAGTTGTATTGGTTCTCAGCACTTGACTCACATTTTCACTTCCTTTTAGCCAGCGTTTTATTTGCAAAAAAAGAAGGTTTGCAAAGGAATAAAACAGTAGAGAGGAAGACCATGCAGGAGGGCTGCAGTTTGCATTGATTAATCCAAATTGTCAAGAGTTTTGCATTAAATAATCCAAGAAAAAACATGCTTCAGATTGATCTATCATACTGAAAATAAACGTATCTGCATATATCAAGCAGCAAAGTTGTTATTAACATGTTTTAACCGATATTGTAAAGGCTCAGTTCTATCATTTATTATGAGAGATGTTAGGATCTGAATAGGCTGAAGGATGATGCATCAGTGGTGAACCTATGACTGATTTTTCAGCTCATAATGTTTCCCAAAACTTTTTTCATTCTAGAAATGTGCTCCAGGCTTTTTTGATTAAACATTTAAAAAGATACATAGTCAAAAACCTGCATGGATTTAACATGTTTTATTATTTTGTAGTAAGTTTATGTGTAGCTATTTCAGTTTGAGTCTTTACCTAATCCTTCATACAGCAACAACAACAACAAAAAAAATAATAATCACTGCTTATAACAATCCCATCAGCAAGACTTTCAGCTCACATGACCTGAGTAGACCTGAGGACAACACTGGGAACAAAGGCTAAATGTACAGAGAGGCGGCAAAACAAACAGAGCTGGATGAGCTAAAGCTGGTTTAAAAGAGTTTTAAACACAACAAAAGAGACATCAAATACCACTTAAGCTGTGCATTAAATCTGTAGGTTTCTCTACAATGAACATAATGCTTCCTAAGGGATCATCTAAAACAGAGAACATGGACAACATATGATGTATACTTTATATATACTACTGTATTCTCTAAGTGCCATTACCTAATGAGGATAAACCATCAGTGTGCAGCAGCAATCTAATAGTGAAATAGAATGGATTATATTTCAGCCAGAAGGGGAATAAAAATTAAGTTTATTTATTTATTTATTTTCATCAGCATCAGTGCAGACTCAAGGAAACAGTAGCAAGTTAGAGTAGGTTTCTGCTAAAGCTGAAGTAACACTTTTGACCACTGCAGGCTGCCAACCTGGGCCCCTGAGCAAGACCATTAGCCCCAAGTTGCTTCCTAGGAGCTGCAAGATTCATGCGGCATACTGCAGGGATGCAGAAGACATATTTTGTTGGAATGTACAATTACAATGTCAATGTAAAAAATTAGTGCTGTCAAAATTATCGCGTTATTAACGCGTTAACGCGAGGCCATTTTAACGGCGATAATTTTTTTTACGTGAGATTAACGCTATGTGGTTTTATGGTACAATTTTCCAAGTACATCCCGCTGCAGCCTGCGGGAAGGCGGGGCTATTTTCCCCCAGTGTATGCATTTCACATAGGCTTCTAGAGCGGAGCTCCTCAAGGAAAAAAGACGCTCATACACTGGGTGACGCTAGTGCCTTTTCTTTAAGCCCCACCACCAACAAACAAGTTGAGTGTCTGGTAACTAGTAGCAACCTGAAATACGCTGAGAAAACAGATTACTGAGGTGAAATGGAATCTGCTACGGCACTCTTGCTGTCTGTGTACGCCACAGGTCGGTATCGTGTGTGTGTGTGTGTCGGTGGGTGTGTCTGTGTGTGGGTGAGTGGGTGTGTGTGTGTTCTCATTTTTGTTAAGAGGCTGAAAAGTAACTTTCTAGAGCATAGACTATTTTGATGTATTGATTGAAAATTGTTCATTATTATCTTGGTTAATTAACATCTAATGTTAACTGTACTACATTTTATAGCAGTAGGGTAAAATGCTTGTCTTTGTTCAAAAGACTGTATTAACTGTAAAGACTGTCTTTTACATCAGCCTGTTTTCAGGGCCTTTTTTTTGGCTATATATTTGTTATTTTTTGCTACATGCCTCCCCATCTTCTTGCCATATGTTTCTATGGCATAAATCAGTATCTGTGACCTGTTTTCATTTTAAAAAAAGAACATTGGCACAAACCTAGCCTGTATGTATTTTTTGTATGTCATCGAGAGTATTTAAATGATTTTCAATCAGAAAAAAAATTTGCGATTAAAATGCGATTAATCGCGAGTTAACTCAGGCATTGATGCGATTAATCGCGATTAAAAAAATTTAATCGATTGACAGCACTATAAAAAATATAAAGCTCTGCAACTGAAATGACAAAGAACAGGTGAAATGGAATTATAAGAGTTTGATTATATGATAAACTCAGGGAGCACAACTGTATCCACATGGCAACAGTTTAAGGGGGGCACGTTTTTACCAAATATGTTAAAATCTAATTTTTTTTAAGTACTAAAAGTAAAACAAAAAGTAATAAAAAAAAATCAGAATAAAATAACATGAATAAAAAGAATATGTAAATCATTAATGATTTTAAGCATAAAAATTATTTCATATGTTTTGTTATTAAAAATAAAAGGCATGCAAATCCTTCATTTTTCATGTTTTTGGGATCTAGATATTTGCTGGTGTTTTCTCATCAATAATATTCATATATAGATTACTATTCAACATTTCTTGCGACACCTTGCCTAGTTTGGGTGCAGCCAAGTCAGTTCTAGGGTAAACATTGCTCCGTGTTTGTGGTCCAAAGTTCTATACAGCCAAAATGAAAGAAAATTCATTGCTAATTTTTTCCAATTTTTTTTCTTTTTTTTTGTTTACTTTCACAGGATTTAAATGAAAAATAAACACAAAGGGTCTTTATGGGCCCTCAAAGAGCAGTCATATATAATACATACATAACCAATATCCTGACATATTTGATAAAAATCAACTCAGAGAGGACAGTTTTGAATCAAAAATAATTATGAATAAACATAATTTAAACTTTTAGGATAATAGGCTTTATTAAATAGTTGTACAGTTTTATATTTGTATGGCTCTTTATCCACATAATTCAAGTTTGAGATATTTAACAACAGATGGAAATAAAGTAAAATGTATTACCTAACCACATGTGCACAAAATTATATATTCAAAGTGATGGAATGGAAGTAGGAGGAGACATTGACCCACCTCAGATGTATGAAAAACTCATCAATTATGGAGTTTCTCCCTTTTTAATAAATTCTGTCATTTTTATTCTGACATGTTGGGAATCAAGTTGTTGGAACGCTTCCAAATAAGAAGCCATTCTGGTCTCATGAGGGCTCAGAGTCCATTGTTAGCTTCTAATAATCCTGCTTCTTTTGAGAAATTACCAATGATCCTGAAATCCTTCTGCATACAGCATCACCAGCTTGTATCTTGATAGTTTTTTTTTTTTTAGGAGGAATGTTTTGGTATTTCTCAATATTGTTTGGAGTTTTTTTTTTGTATGATATAATTCAGAATACAGTCATGCTTATTGGTTTGTTGTAACTTTTTGGCTTTTATAGATATCGAGTCATTAACTCCAAATCTTTTTCAAATTTTTCGTATTGTAATAAATTAAAACAATTATTATATTAAACATTAACCAATATAAGCTTACACAACAAATCTTAAAATCCTGATCAATTAATAAATAAGTCAATCAAATGTATTTAGAAATGAAACACAAAATATACAATGAGAGAGTAATTTAGATTGTCTCCATAAAAACATTTAATTTAGGGAAAAGTATTTGCATAGGTTTTTTTTTTTTTATCCACCATGGTAACGTGCACATTATCTTAAATTTAAACTTTATTTATGCAGGCAATCTCATTGAGATCTCATTGATAGAGTTTGCATGCATCAACTCATGTGCAGCCTGTTGCAGATGTTCCCATTTAAAGCTACAGTGTTTAATTTTCAGCAAAATCTAACGTCCAGACTGCAGACCGCAGCAACATGAACATCTCCCCCCCACCGCTTCTCCCCCCCAACAGTACGGCGAGCGTTACGGGACAAAATGTCTTCCACGACGTCCGCATCACCTACCTTCTCAAGTGATGAGGTTTGTTTACATAGATAATTTTACAGATAGTATTTCATTAGTCTGTGTAGGGTATAGATTTCAGTTCATCTCTCTCAACTTGCCGTAGTTACTTTCGAGCGTAATGGGAGATCTCGCAATCGCTAGTTTGTTGGCTCTGCGCTGCCGTAGCACAAAGATGTCTGCCTCCATGGCTGCGAGACCCGCTCCTATGTAATTATAAATAACGAATTCTAAGGCAACGCAAATATTAAGGTTAAGAGGCTGAGCTCGTAGATGATGATAAATAACATAGTTATGTATAATATATTACATTTCTGACTGTATATCTCTGTAATTATTACACACTGTAGCTTTAATTATTTGTTCTTATTCTTATATTATTTTATTCTTATATCTTATTTTACACTGTATAGGAAGGGTGCAACTGTACTTTTTGGATTGTAATTTTATTTACTTATTTTATTCTGTCTTATTATATTATATTTTATTTTGCTCTGCTCTATTTCTGTAAACGGTTGTACTGCAGGAAAAGAATTTCCCGCAAGAGATTAATAATGTAATTCTGATTCCTATTGAGATCAATATCTCACTTTCAAGAGACCTGTTTAATGAAGCAATAATATTTTCAACTGCAGGAACAAAACACATAATAAAAACATTTTTATCAATTCAATAAACTTAAGCAAGTTGCAAGTGAGAATTTTTGTGCTAAAATAAATGTACTTTGTCCCCAAGGAATCCATCTAGATCACTTCAACTTTAGAGTATTTATGCCACACTGAAGAAACGGGTGTCTGAATAGCGAAGTTTGAAGCAGCATCGTCTAAGTGTCAGGTATTAGGTTAGGTAATGCAGCAGTAATGCAAGAATTTTAAAGATGCACCAGCCTATGGATTGCTATTTTTACTGCAATTTGCCAAGAATTTTATATCTGCCAAAAAAAATTACACGTTTTTACTATGCAAAAACCTTGCTAATTAAAGAAAACTGCCTTTAAATGCATATGAAGGAAGGGAGTTGAGAACATAGTTCAGATTCTTTTGCCTGTACAGCTGCTGCCTGAAATCATCGTCTCATGCATGGATAATCTAGGTCAACATGTTTTTTTCTGTGAGGCACTGCTTGTTTAGGGAGACAAACATGATAACCTATATCTAGTTGACTACATGATGTGAAAACGTTAAATCTAAATAAAAGCAATAAATTAAGTTGATGGTTGGACCAGTTGAAAGATTACCTTAAAAAGCATTTTTTGTGACCTTAAAAGTGGAACTCTGCTGTGTATGAATGATATATAGAAATCAACTGAGCTGTATTTTACTCAGCTGTATTACCTCCAAAGCCTGGACGCATTGCAAAGTCATGATCTTCAATCCGAAGTAGCTGTTCAGATTTAATTAGCAGGGATTTTGTGCTGTCCAGCTTTTTCATCTTAAGATCCACCCGTCTGAAAAAACAAGAAAACAACCAAAAAGAGCAAATGACAGTTCAGTCATTCTCTTTCTAACAAAAGCAGATTTAAAGCAGAAGCAAAATCTGGTTGGGAGAGTGAGTGGTGGCTATTTGCACTTTAGCTCTGATTAAAACGAGAGCCTTGACCCGAATAAAATCAGTTCACTTACATTCAGGGTTCTGGCACTTGTAATTGGGTCAAAGATAATGTGGGAGCGCTCTTTTATCTACCTCCTGTGGTGATTAGTGTCTTCCTAGAAACAATCCAAAGCTGACTTTAATCGTACACACGACAATGTGTGACAGAGGGAAATTTCAGATCAAAAAATACCTCAAGAGTCACACGATTTACCGCCTGTTCTGACCTCGACCCATCAACATGGTATTAATGGGGTCATTGGGATCAATTATGCACGGAGATATCAGGAAACAACCACGTAAAAAAAAAAAAAAGTTATGACCAAGAGAAATAAAAGATATCTCACCCTCCATGCTTTACTTTATTGCTCTCCCCAACGTAGACCTCTTTGTGCCTTTTCTTGTTAGGGAAGGTGCTGCTGTTGAGCTGAGTGACAGGCCACAGCCAGGCCAAAACCATCAGTCTCAAGGCCAGGAGGGCCAATCTCATGATTGAGCAGGGGCTTCAGATACAAGAGGAACCCAAACGTCCCTCCCAGTTTGTCAGTGTCTCACCCAGACACGGATCTCCTGGTGTCCTATCGGCACATCCATGTCCCGGGTTCACTCATTCTGTCCCACCAGGCAAACGCCAGCTCATATCTGCCTCATATTTCTCTCTCATGTCTGGTAACATGGCGAACATCAGTGGAGATATCCAGCGGCTCAGCCCCAGTGCACGAGCATCCTCCTGGCTGAGTGAGCCTGTCACTGTGCCATCCCCCCTGTCCTGACGCAACACGTTGCTCCAACCCCCCCGCTCTTCCCACCCCACTGATTTAAAACCAAATATCAATTTGTTCCTATAATGACAAAGGAATACCATTAATTCCTCTCTAATCTTCTTTTCTGCGGGTGGTGAAATCTTTCAGTAACCTACAAACTGGAGGCAGTGCAGGGCGGGGACAGCGCATAACACAACCTCCAGTTTCATCATCGTCCAGGCCAGATGAAAATAAAAGCCCTGTAGCCTAGTTTTTTTCGTTGCAGGATTTTCCAGCACTAAGTTGCAGTCGGCTGTGCAGAGAGGAGATGGATGATCCCATCCAGAGGAGTCAGATGTGAGCATATGTCTGCAGTGGATTCTGTAGAAACTGAACTTATGGCCTCTGGCTGTATAGTATGCAAGCCTAACCATATGATCCCACAACTGGCACTTCATCTAGGATCAGAGAATTGAATCATATTTGACTGATGTCCTCTCTTTACATACTTTTGTTGCTCTTTGTGATTTCAGAAAATGAACTGATTGCATCCTAAGCAAATATCAGTGTGCTTTTAGAGCAGGATTCACTGAAATGGAGGGAAACACTCAAATGATATCAAGCTCGTGCCTGCTGATGGACACATGATGGGAGAGATAAAACCACAGAGCATTTGGATTTATGTAAATTAAAAATCTGCTGGCCGATTTGCCCTACTTAAAACTCCAGAGCTAGTTCAGTGACTATTGGAGTTGTTTGGATTTTGGATCAGGCACAAAAACAACAGCAGCGTGTCCCAATGCTAACAGACTTGCACTTAATGACTTTTGTTTTTCTTCCTTAAATGTGGAATATTTTCTCTTGATTAATTCTGTTTTTTACTTGTAATATACATGTTAAACACTATACAACTAAACACACAATCACCATGGCTCCATCATGCTATGGGAAAGTTTTTTTTCTGAGAAGGGACAGGGATGATAATCAGGGTCCAAGGGTTGATGGGCGGAGCTAAATAGCAGAAAATGATCAAAGGCGAACTGTCAGAAGCTGCAAAGGATTTGAAATTAGATTTACCATTCACACAGCAAATTTAGAACTGTTAATTCAACTCTTATAGAAATAAATTGAACTAAAAATAAAAATTTAAAAATTTTTGAATAGTTAACACACTGACTGACTCTGGTATAGGTATAATTCTAACTATTATTTTAATTCAACGCTTATCAGGTTTGATTTTTTCATACACCAAAGTGAAGTGACAATAGTTTACAGCACACAGTAGAGTCGATCATTCATAGTGATTAGTGGTAGAGCTAGACTGTTTTTGTTTGTGGAGGCAGAGGTTATCTAATGGGAAGAGATTTACACATGAGAATACATTTGTTGATTTGCATTAGCAGTTTGTAGCTTTAGGAATATTCAAGAACATTGTAGTAGGCACAAAGGGGATAGGATTTGAGTAAGTAATAGGCAATAAGCAATGTTATAAAAATTTAATCCGAAAACTACTTGGAATGTCTTAATAACAGAAGCAAAATATAGTGCTGTGCAAGTATGGGCCATTTATCATTTTATACTTTATTAAAACTTTTGTCTAATCAATGAGAGACAGACAATTTTAGAGTTTATAATCAAAGATTTAATATGGTTGTGTTTTATTTTTCACGTAATTCACACAAGAAGAAATGTTTTAGAGCAAATCAGATACAAATACAACATGGTGGTCATGGCGCTAGTGGCATGCTCCCTTTAATCTGGGATTACAGTTGAATGAGGGCAGAGATGAGCAACGCCATCTTTAAGAATCAAGCACGTGGATCTTGGCACACTCATACATGTGACCCTTTAGGAAAACTTTCCACATTGGGATGTGCGCCCCCTAGAGGCCCATTAACCCATCCAGCCATCCATACAAACTTTCAGGATTAAAACATACTAAAACTAGATGCAGAAGTTTAATAAAAGCATTATGACATTGAAAACCATTTTAACTAATATGAAATTAGTTAATTTTGTTCATTTCTGTTGATCATAAATGACATGTCTTTCCAATTTTAATCACATCAAAACTTTACTCTTTTGATCACTGCGGTGCCGACCACACATATTTACTATAGTCATGGTTCAAATCAATTGAAATAAAATCAAAAACTTTTTTTATTATATGCAAATAAACAAATGTTCCCCCATCCAATTAAATTCTTTTGTCCACATTTGATGCCAAGTGGTTAGAGCATTGCAATTGAGGTTCTGAGTTCAAGTCGACACACTCCCATAGACTGCCACTCTCAGTCCATGAGGGAGACCCTTAACCCCAGACTGCTCCATGGGCACCACACAATGGCAGCCCACTGCTGCCCAAGGGGATGGGTTAAATGCAGCTGTGAATTTCTCCAGTGTGAGATCAATAAAGTTAAATAAAAAAAAATTCTAACAAAAAAAAAACACATTATACAACACCATATAATTAATCCAATGAAATAAATGAACTGTTCTTTATGTAACATTCAGTAGTGAGAACGGTACTGTATGTGGATTTATTTGGAGATCAAAACAAAAAAAAGTGTTTTTGTTAGCAAACTATTTAAGAGAAGGTGTTAAGTGTTGTGCCGTGCACCATGAAGCTGGTTAAATTGTAACCTGCCTGGTTAATTAGTCCATGTTTCATTAGTGTTAGGAAGGATGTAAAGTGGAATTACACAGAAACAGTTCACTGCACACTAGTGTGTTTTCACACACAAGCCTAAGACTGTTACAGGTTCAACGCCTTGGCAGAAAGCGCCTGGAATGGCAGAAACACAAGGATTTATCCTCAGCCTGCTGGTTTTCTCAGGGAAGTTTTGGTGGACAAGTTCCAAAGGTATGTACTGTAATGCTTGACAATTGCTGCCCTAAATTTGGAATATTTTTTCACAGATTTTCATTTATATGAATAAAACTGTCCAGGAACTGCAGCATATCTATTAGGACTGGTTGAAAAGAATGATCTAATGTTCTGAGACATGGAGGAGAAAGCTGTTTATTAGTAAGAATGAACAATCAAACTACTCTAAATCAGCACATCTATACTATGGAAGCATATGAACAAAGAAGAGAGCAGGAAAAATAAGCTTTGGGAAGCCAAATAAGTCCAATGTTGAAGCCCAAATAGGTTAAAATGGAAACATTTCTTTGAATTTTACATAAAAGCTGCAATTATTTTAAGGAAATTTGAGCAGAAAAAGAGTCTCGGAGTCATAAAAAGGTAAGAAACTAGCAAACCCAAAACATTGGACAAAGGGTTGAATAAAATCAAAAAGACTTTGATGAAAACCAAACACCAGGCTCAAACTGTAGAACCAGAATTCTACCACAAATAAGAAAAATAGATTTTTTTCAGATGGTAAAAATGAAGCAGGCTTTTTAGATGTCTGACATATAACGAGAGTCATGTGCCTCTTTGGCCTATGATAGGCTAGGCTAATCTGTTTAGGATACATTCTGCATTTCACCGAACGTCTGCTGGATTTAGGCACAAGTTTCTTTGAAGGAGAGTTAGGTATGGACCATCAATAGATTAATGTACATCTCCTGTTTGTATGTAAAGGTTTCTGTTTCACTTTTCTCCACATATTTAGTCTGAGTTATTTGTTTTATTTGCACCATTCCCTAAGTGGACGGCTCTGGCTGTTGACTCCCTTTGTCATTTTAGGTTAAAATGCTTTGCCTGTCTGCATACACCTTGTGCAGTTTTAATCTTAGTTTTAAGGAAACAAAAAACTTTTCCAATTGTTTAATAATCTCATGGCTAAAATGCAGCAAAGTGACGTAGTAATTTCAGTGGGTCACCTTGTTTTGTTTTTGACTTCATCCCATCTCTGCATCACAGAAATTTGGCCTAGATTCACCAAATAGTTTACATTATCCAGACCGTCATCCGTATATCAAAGTGCATTTTTGTTTAGAGTTGTTTGAATTTAAAATCTTCCTTTGTTTTGAAAAAGTGCATTTTGGAATTACCTGCCTGCTTAGAGCAATAACAAAGTGCCATTCATTTTATAATTACTACTTATTATACTATAAATTTAAATGTTATTCCACCTCTGAAATAAACAAATATGTTTTTAGTTGAATGGATGGACCCAAATACAATAACTGGATCACAGTTTTAGAATTTCATTTCAAATCAGTTTAGATTATGATCCATTCATCAACCCAGACTTAGGCTTAGGGGAATAAGCAGACAGGTTTTATTGAATGCAATATTTTATTAAAAACAACTAACCAACTGCATTCATGCTTGTCTATTATTGAGTAACTGCTACTTAGACAGTTATCTTAACAAACACAAAACTGAATATTTCTTATAGTAAAAGCAAACTATAAAAACCTACTATAAAAACTAAACTTTTTACTGTTTTCAAGGCTGCACTTAAAAAAATATGACATTTTCTAGAGAGCTATTCTTAACAACATTTCTTTTTGTTTACACTATATATGTATACAAAATGACAAATAAAATCTGTCTAAACTAATTTCTCATGTCATTCAGTCATTTCTCATGTACAAAATTATGAAATTAAATTAACAAAAATAAGTGAATGTATAACACGTTATATAATCAAAATTACTTGTAGTAGCCTGTCTTTGCATGTTGTGTACAGAATACTTTTAACTAACAGAATAATACAAATTAACTGTGCTGTTATATAACTGCATCTTTTCAGTCTTGTTACCAGAACTGAACGTCACCTGCATCATCCAAGATGACTGTGTCCTGCCGTGCAGCTTCAGACCCACCGGCACCGTGGTTATCCACTGGTACAAGCAACAAATCCCTGTCCACAGCTACTACTACCACAAAGATCAATTTGGACTCCAAAACAAGCACTTCAGCGGCAGAACATCACTGTTTAACTCCCACATATCTCAAGGCAATGCTTCGCTGCTTCTCAAAAGGGTTAAAGTTCAGGACAAGGGCAAGTACAAGTGCTACACAAGCACACGGAAAGGCAACCAAGAGATATTTG